ATATATTAACTATATACATTACTATTATACATCTTATAACATATTCTCGCATTTCCTAAAATATCTTTTTTGTTACCAAAAACTAGCTTCATTATTACAGCGGTTTTAACAAAAAGTTAGTTCATTCAAAGTATTTAATGCTAGAAAATGTCAAAAAATATTTGTTGATACATGAACGTGTATATATGTATCAATGTTTGTTCTAACCTGCCTAGGTATCTATGAGCTCATTGCATTATATTCATCATGTAGTTCTATTCTTTTCACACAGAAGTATACAAATGTACGGTACAAATTTTGTACTGTACAAGTGTATGCTTCATTTTTCATTTGCTCATCAAAATGAGTTACTTTCAGTAAACGCTTACAATAGTTTGTTCGGTCCCAGAGCATATTGCAAATTCACTGACTCGTGTGAATGATGTTTCAAAAGCCTTCACCACCGTTTTCGTCTCGTGCATCGAATTATTATTATTAACAAACGTGAATATTCTCTTTGTACAATAGTGTTTACAAGTTTGTTTGTAAGAATGTGTGTTGGGTTCGTATTTGTACGCATGGGGTTTTTCTATTTTTATGTACGTACGAGTGTTTGTATGTATGCATATTTTGATGTATGCGTAATTTTATGTATGCGTATTACTACTGCGTGTATTGTGTAGTATTATTGTGACATCCTTACCTACTCTTTTCTATGTTAGTTTGTATGTTTATCATTTTGTTAACTTTGTATATGTGTGTGTTTTTTATTAGCTGGTAATTATGTATTTGTGGCGGTATTTTTTACATAAAGTATTTGAAATAATGTATCGTCAGTCGTTTCGGCAAGAAATTATTACAGAGGTAGGTCACGAAAATAATAGAAGAGTTGGTCGTAAATATTTTTCATCCATTAATATTTTCGTATATACGCCAGTTCATTATGTCAGTCATACATATATTCATTCATGCATTTGTTCATTCGTTCAATCATTCATTCGTTCAATCATTCATACATTCATTAATCAATTCATTCATTCACTCATTCATTCACTCACTATCTCACTCATTTATTTGCTAATTCATTCATTCATCGTTTGTTTATTCAATTAATATCCTTCGCTGATTTAATTTTTCGTTAATTTTTGCTAATTTTTTTTCAATTTATCAACTAAATTACTCATTCACTGCTATACTTTTTTATTTATTTGTTTATTTATTCATTCATTTATTCGTTTGTTCGTTCGTTCGTTCATCCATCCATCCATTCATCAGAAAGTTTGCATATTAATAATTCAGCCCCAGCAAAACGGCTAGTAAAAACGTTTGCATGTCATTGATTTCTACTCCAATCTCCGCCATGAATGTCAAATTATTAGAATTATTTTTTATTTATTAGCAATATTATTATTATTATTACTATTATTATTATTATACATTATTGTATGACAACAATTTTAAGAACGTCACTTAAGTACGCTACGTAATTAATCTAAAGTTTCAAAATTTCAGGGTGTACACATTTTTTTTCTTTTGAGTATGTCAGTAGAACGGGTAGGTAAGTAGTAGGTACGTACCTAACACACAATATGCACCAGTAGAACATACATGTGTGTGTGTGTGTGTACGTGTTTGTTTGTGTGTGTATATGTGTAAGTTTGTGTGCGTGTGTGGGTGTGTGGGTAAAAATGCATAGATTTCTCGCAATCAGGTTACCTCGTAATTTTGTTTTCACGGTCATCGGGAATAAAGAACGCTCAAGAAAGAATAAAATTTATGAGAAACATCAAATACGTCAAAATAAAAAAAAGTTATCTTTACATTTAGAAGGATTAATCATAGCGTATCCTATCAATCTGTGACATGCTTTCTAAGTCACAATAGAGTCAACAACGAATTGATATGTAGTACCGAATAAACATACACACACAAAAAAACAAAACACATACATACACACAAATGAAAAAATATGAAATTTTTGCAAATATTTATCAAGGTTTTTGGCCCGATGAACCCCAACACCCTTAAATTTTTTAAGGCAATATGCAAATTAATCAGCTTCAAATCAGGTGACAGCAGGAAACTGTTCTTCGCAATTAACCACCACATTTCGTGTTGGTTGCAGCGATTCCTGCGTGTCTGTGTTGTGTTGGAAAGTATCCAATTGAATGCCTACATGTGCAGTTAACGACAAATCAACGTGTTAATTCACTTGTTACTTGATGTTTGACTGTTTAATGTCATTCATCATGTTTTGGTTTTAACATTCATACATACATACATTCATACATACAAACAAACAAACAAACATATATACATACATCGTTTGTTCACATTCAAAGCCGGCTGGATTGTTTTAATTTCCTGGTTATTTTTGTTAAATTCATAGATTTTAAATCGTTTTTACATATGATTTTTGGGGTCATCGGCTGTAATTTTGTCCCGGGTTTGTTTTTCCGTCATTTTTTATCGTTTTTCTGCCCTGCCTCGGCCAATTTTCTCGTTTTTTGTTTTTATATCAATATTATAATTTATTCACAGCTCATAGCTGCTACAGGTCACCGGCCTGCGCCAGGTGTGAGCTGTTTTTATTATTATCGGAAAGTTCACTACATTTTAACTTATTTACCTTCTATCGACATTTATTTTTAATTTACTTTTGAAATTAAAATTTAAAATTAAAATTTATTTAAAAAAAAGAAATTTCCTAAACCAATTTTTAAAATCTGTGTAAAAAAAAACTATAAGTTTGCTGCAATAGTTGTCTCCTCCCAGGTTACCTAGGTTTTTGTATTCACTCATTTGTTCACTCACTCATTCATTCATCAATAAAAAAAAAAAAAAGAAAAAAAAATAAATAAAAGTTGAAAAAGTTATATATATTTTCCACTGGTTAAATATTTAAAAATAATTCAGTCATTCATCCGTTCGCTCGTTCATTCATTCCGTCACTCATTCGTGTATTCGTTCATTCATCCATTCGTTCGGTTGTTTATTCATTCATTCATTCATTCATTTATTCACTCACTCATTCTTTTTTTCCCTCACTCGTCCGTTCAGTAATTAGCTCATTCATTCCCCCATCATTCACTCATTCATTCGTTTGTTCGCCGGCCCATTCATTTGGTCATTCGCTGGTTCATACATTCATTCATCCATCCACCCCACTTGGTTTGTTTCCTTTCCTTCGTTTCTTGGTTGTTTTTAATCACATATGGCTCCAAAGTTACAACAGTGCCCCGTCTGCTTTAACCACTATAGAAGCACTCCAGACGGAAAGTTATGTCGGCAAGGAGGTAAAGTGAAAGGACAGGAATGCTCGGGGTCCCGGAAAAAAGTTGATCCATCGGGCGCGAGGGCTGCTTCGCCTCTCGGTGCCGCACCCGACCCCAAGCCCGGGTTACCCACACGGTCGACGGCCGCATCGGTCTCCGGTGATCCTCTCGACCTGGATTACTCTGGTGTTTTTGACAAGCTGACGGCCGTGCTGAAATGTGTACCGGTGTACGACCATATCCCTAAGCCATGCAGGGAGAAGTTCGCACATGATCTAAACGCCTTGCTGACGGCTGTTTGTAATGACCCTGGTGACCGGCTCACTGGGTTAGACTCCACTGTTTTGTCGTCGTCTTACAGAAGACTTCCAGAGGGGGTCGCCGGGTCAACCAGGGCAATCTGGTCAACAAGCGTCTAAGCGAATATTCAACTATTGGTCTTGAAACCCTGGTACTGTGCTTTGATGGGTTCAATAATGCCAAATCACAAAAGCACAACCCCGATCGGTGGATCAACGCTGTGTCATCTTGTATTGAACAGGGAAACCTGTCCTCAGCTGTCAGACTTGTCTGTTCGCCGGAGGGCCTGGCGGAGAGCTCGCCGGCCACCTTCGATAAATTATGTTCCATCCACTCAAAAATTCCGGTAGACAGGCGGGTCTTTCCCGCATTGACACCAACAGCTGGTTGCGTTTCTCCCGCCGAGGTGCTGAGGGCCGTTAAATCGTTCAAAAACGGTTTTTCTGGAGGCCTGGATGGCCTACGACCTCAGCACCTTAAGGATGTTTTTTCAGGCCCCTTGCCAATCGACGACACACTGAACTCCTTAACCCAATTCATTAATTTGATCCTATCTGGAGCTTGCCCACTCTCCGTCCGCCGGTTCTTTTTTGGAGGCCGGCTAATAGCTTTAAATAAGAAAGACGGAGGGGTCAGACCGATTGCGGTCGGGAACGTTTGGAGGAGGTTGGCCGGCAAATGCGCCTTGGCCCTGGTCGTGATCGAACTCAAGACCAAATTCTACCCAACTCAGTTGGGTGTCGGGATTAAGGGTGGCGCTGAGGCCGCTGTTCATGCGGTTTGAGGATTGGTCACCGACCTCCCCGATCAATGGGGGTTTTTGAAACTGGACTTTAAAAATGTCTTCAATGCCTTGAGAAGAGACTCGATGTTAGAGGCTGTCAAACTTTTTTGCCCCAATATCTATAATTTTTGCCATTCTGCCTATGGCGGAATCTCTTCCCTTGGCTACCACTCTTGGGTTGTAGAATCGGCCGAGGGGGTACAGCAGGGTGATCCCCTTGGTCCTTTGCTGTTCGCAATAACTCTTCATCCACTCTTAGAGAAAGCTTCGTCCACTTTCGTTTGCGCTTATCTGGATGATATCAGCATTGCTTCGGACGGCCCAACTCTGGCCGATAGCTACGAATATTTGAAGCATAACTCCGCTGCAATTGGTTTAGAGTTAAACATTAAAAAATGCGAACTTCACTGCCAAAGGTTATTTCAGGTGCCACATGCGCTGGCTGGAATACCCAGAGTTGGTGCATCAGAACTGAGTTTTTTAGGCACACCCTTGGTCGAGGGCGATTATCAAATAAAGTTTTTTGACCAAAAGCTCTCTGAGCTTAAATTCGCCCTACATATATACATACATACATACATACATACATACATACATACATACATACATACATACATACATACATACATACATACATACATACATACTTATATACATACATACATATATACATACATATATACATACATATATACATATATACATATATACATACATACATACATACATACATACATACATACATACATACATACATACATAAACAAACACAGTCATGCATACACAGTTCTATTTCTTTTAACTGAATGCGACAAATCGTGTCAAATTGCATTAGAGATTCGTATGTATGTTGGGATTTTTAGTTCATAGAAAAACTTCTTAATGCTCGTACCTACAACAATAAAAAAATATTTGATACTCATTTTTAGGTTAAGATCCGCACTTGGTGGTGGATTTGCCGTTGATTCTATCTCCGAAAACTTAAAACGGTCACAAATTTCTGAGACATGACTACGGTACATATGATGAAGAAACATTTTGAATAGGGTGGGGAGATAGGGCTCATCCATTTAAGGGTGGTTTCGTGGTTTTCCCAAAGAATGGACAAATTTGTTATAAAAAATTGAGAAACTTGTTCTGTTAAATCGTTCCGTAAAAAGTTCATTCAAACTATAGTATTCTACATGATCATTTTTAGTCGTTGTTGGTCGATTAATATCTACATAATATACCGCTCGTCGTTCATTGGGCAAAGGATTTGTGTGTGTGTGTGTGTGTGTGTGTGTGTGTGTGTGTGTGTGTGTGTGTGTGTGTGTACATTCATACATACGTTCACGTACGTATGTATGAATATGCATGCATGTATGTGTGTGGGCCTATTAGAGGAGTATTGTACGTTTGTATGTATGTGTGTGTATGTGTGCGTGTGTGGTGTGTGTGTGGGCCTATTAGAGGAGTATTGTACGTTTGTATGTATGTGTGTGTATGTGTGCGTGTGTGGTGTGTGTGTGTGTGTGTGTGTACGTGAGTGCAAAGACCACCGAATTCTCGTCACGTATCGACCCACCAATTAAGGATATTTACAGAGTTCCCTGGACCAAGGTATGGGATCCTGAATACATTCTACGAGCAGACGCGTAAGATAGATTTTATTTGCCATAATTTTGAAATTGGGTTGACAAATGATGGTTGACAGGTCTCATGCATCACGCTCACCATCTTTACCCCCTATTTAACCCCTACATTATTTTACGCACACACGCACGCACGCACACACGCGTTTTGCTTCATTACTACATCTTTTCTCACACACGCACGCACACACGCGCTGGTTTTTCTTACATTTGCACATCATTCTACCCACACATGCAGAGAGACATGCTCAAACAGACATAAGGGGAGCTTATAAAAATGTGATTCGTTTTATATTGAGGATTTAATTGGCGCCAGCAACCCAGGAATCCCCATGTAGTCATTTTTTTTCTCCGTGTTTTATCGCGTAATTACGCTGCAAACGATCAGCTTGTAGAAATAGTAGCAGCAGTTACGTCATAAAATACTACTAATAAAATACTTATAGTAAGGATAAAATATTACTAATGCTAGTAAGTAGCCCAATACTAATGGTATGATCTGTAAATCAATACTAAGTATGCTAACAATACTAACAGTAAAACTAGATGCAAAGTAACATAATTAATAATTATAATATTATAGTAGTAGTTGGAAAGGGAAAACTTATGTAATGCTGGTTGTACTTGTGTAAAAATTAGTAGGACAAAGTAGCAGCAGTAGTAATATAGTAAAGAGTGGAATTAAACTTTTTTTCTTGTGTACTTAGTTTTATGTCGTTTATACTGTAAAGTTGCAATGTTAATTAATTGTGAAGTTGTAAAGTTGCAATGCTAATTGTTTAATTAATTAATTAATTAATAATAAAATTGGGAGTAAGTTAATAAAATAATAATGAAACAATAATGATATTTTTTCTATATGTTGACTTTAAAAAATAAAAAGGCTATCATTTATTTTTTACACGTCATTTGGTCAGATTTTTGGGCGAACGAAATCATCATTCATCATTTAAAGTAGTTTTTACCATTAAACCTTTTTTTTTGCATTTTTTTCGGAAGAACGTTTCCATCTTGCAAACCCCAGACTATCGGGACGTGCTTGCAAAAAAGTAAATGTCATAATGACATAGAAAGATATAAGCAAGAGAAAGAGAGAGGGAGAGAAGAGAGAAAAAGTGTGTTAGAGAGATAAAAAAATATAATAAAAGATAGAATGGGAAAAATTAAAGAAAAAAAAGGAAAGAGAGAAGAAGATAAAAGAAATATGTCGAGAAGAAAAATTGAAAGAGAAAGAGCGAGACAGAGAGAAATTAAGAAAGTGATTGAAAGAAGTGAAGTGACAGAGAGAAACAAATAGAGAAAAAAAGAATGAGAGACAGAAAGACAGAGCTAAAATTATAGTAAATGGAGTACTGGAAGAAGGAAGTGATATTGGATAGAGTGTACTTTTGATGTTTGATTAACAATTAAAGTAAGGATATATACCACTTGGTGTTATATAGGGTGAAAGTTTAAATGTAGATAACGCATATTTTTATTTAAAAAGTTTGATGATTTTTTTATTATTTTTTATTTTCTTATCTATCTTTGCTGTGCCAGTGCCTTATGCATATGCCTTCTTTCATCCATACCATCATTGAATCGGTAACAATTTTCGCCCCGTTACTCTACGCATTACTAAAATGTTTTTGTTTTTCGACGTTATTGTTACTTGTTGTTGTTGCTGTTGTTGTTGCTGTTTTTTGTAAGTTGGGTTTTTACTAGACATTTGTATATAAAAAGTTCTTTATGTGGCCGTGTATCAGTTGCTGGAAATTTTTTGGCAAATGTTTTTCTAGAAGATGTTGATATATTGCTTGTACCGTAGACAAATTTTGTTGAGTTATCGAGTTTGTTATTGTTTTTTTTATCGTTTTTTGCAGCTGCTACCAATTTTGTGTTTTTTTTATTGGATATATTAAGTGAAAAATGTTTTTTGTAAAATGATTTTTCAGAAATTTCAGAAATGTTTTTTGTAAAATAATTTTTCAGAAATTTTTGTAAAATTTTGAATTTTCATTTTGAAAATTGAAAGTTTAAAGTTAAGTCTGAACATAATCATTGTTGATGGTTAGTCAAAGTTATTGATCCTTTTGTCTGGTTGCATCAAAGGACAAGTTATTTTGTGTTGATGTTGTTTGTTGTTGTTGTGTGTTGATGTTGTATGTTGATGTTGTTTGTTGATGTTGTTTTGTGTTGATGTTGTTTATTGGTGTTGTTTATATGTTAAAGATCTTAATGAACGTACAAATTTATTTATTTTTGTTTTGAATAAAATATTAAGCCTGCTGTGTTTATAAGTTTCTCAAAAGTTGAAGCTCATGGTGTTGGAATAAGAATGTCTTCTTTCCATTTACTATGTGACTGATGCTTTTTTATGTTAAACCGCAAAATAATTTAAAAACATGGAACAAACGCTTATGGTGAATACGCGCGATTATATGAGAGTTTCCTAATTCATTCCACACACGCACACATATACACACACACGCACACATACACACACACACACATACATGCAATTTGAAACAAATCCCTGTGTTGTAGTTTATTAAAAGGGCATTCTTACGAACTAGGCCATCCATCTTGGAGGTTGGTGAAATGCCCTGCTGCCTCCAACAACGACACGTATTCCATTGACAAATGAAACGATGTATTCATCAAACGCATAACAATCGATCATTTTAAAAAATTTCAAAATTCAACAATTGTGGCAACGAGTTCTGAAACGTGTTTTGTTGCTCCATAAATAAACAACATTGTTATTTTCAGAATATACAAATATTCAAATCAATAATTTTCGCTATGTTACGAATTTTTAATAACCAGTATCAGTGTTATACAAAGTTATTTTATATAGATCATAATAAAGGAATAGCGTAAACACTGTGAACCTAAATGAATGCTTGATTTGTCAATTGACCGTTAATTAGATTGATCGAATAATTTAATTCAATTATCGATAAATTAGCTAATAGATTTTGAAATAATTGGTTAAACAACTGATTAATTGACTAGTAGGCCATTCAATGGATTGATAATTTGATTGATTGACCAAAACGTGGACTGAATGATTTCATAAGATAGAATCCCTTATTAGATTGTGCGGTCCATCGGAAGAGTCATCATTGGGGGATTATTTATATGCATAGACAATGACTTTGTGGGATTTAGATTGTAATGGAATATGTAAACGGTTTGACTGAAATATGGTGTGTATACGTGAATCTTTGAAATGATTTATTATTTTCTCATTTTTACTGTTTTGTTCATCTGTGTCGTATTTGTTTTGGTTTTTATATCTGCTATCATACGCGCGTTTTGTTGGTGTCTTTTTGCCTATTTTTGGTGACTTTTTTAATCATTTTGCTATTTTTTGGTTAATTATTTTTCTATTTTACCGCTTTTTGATGAGTTTTTTTTAACTTTTTTATAATTTTTTGTTGACGTTTGTACATATATTTCTATCTAAACAAAGTTTTTGACTTTGTTCGTTTACTTCAACAAAATTTTCAGCCACTTTTTTCAACTTTTTTGTCATTATCATTGCGAAACAATGATATGATGATGTTTTAAGATAAGACGTTATATTATTTGTGCAGTTTTGTAAGAGGTTTACAATACAATGCAAATATTGGATATGTGTATGGCAATAATTTTTCATATCATATTTTTCTGAAATTAAAAAAAGCGCTTTTAAAGTTCAATTGTTGTCTTTTAGGTTTATTTCAATGTCAAAGGACCGGCATACCGTTTTTGGGTGAAATCGAATGTTAACAACTACAGAAACATCTTGAGATATTTGACGATTTCTACTAGTTACTTTTATCAACAATTTAAAAAAAAATTTCAATTTAATTTCATCGCTATATCGATAATGATTTTTGTGACCTGACTGATTAAAAAGCATCAAAGAATATTTTTAAAATAGGATGGAGAATTTGTTATATTGGGATGTTCGTATATAAAGCGAGCAAAATTTTAATATGAAAGCGCTTATAAATCTACGCATATTGGCTCAGCTTGGCTTGGCTCGGCTTGGAATTGGATGTTTCTTTGAGGTTCTTTTCTTTGCCGACCGGTCGGCTTCTTTGCGTTTCTCTATTTTCATTTAAATTAATTAAATAAATAAGATTTGTCCATTCATTTAGGTTCTTTCAGGTTCATTCATTCAGGTTGAAGCTTCCAGAGGAGTTCATCGTGGAAGATCAGAATGGTTGTGATGTCAAGCTACGTTCCTTCATTTAGTGTCAAAGAATGCACGCCTGGCTGGGTTTCGTTTTACGGTTTCTTTGCGGTTTCTCTTTTTGCCAATTGGCTGGCTTTTCCGGCTGGCGGGTTTCACCGCGGCTCGTTTCTCTATTTTCATTTAAATTAATTAAATAAATAAGATTTTTTCATTTCATTCAGGCTGAAGCTTCCAGAGGAGTTCATCATGGAAGATGTCAGTCTACGTTCATTCATTCAGAGGCAAAAAATACACGCCTGGCTGGGATACGTTTTATTCTTTTTTCTCTGTAATTTAAAAATAAGTAAGAATGCTTACACGCACACACACACGCACAATTACATTAAGTAGCTATATAGGTAGGTTAGATAGGCATAATTTTAATTGTAGGTAGGATAGATAGGAAGCATCCAACACTAATGTAGTTGAATAGGTAGGCGCGTAAGTTTATTGCTTCTATTTTTTCTTGCATCTACATTACACGCATTAGCGTATTACACACAAACACATACATAAACACATATATTAGTATCTGAGCGTAATTTTATTTTCATTACACATTCTAATTTATTATTACTAAGGTTGAGAGTAATTTAATTTCATAGGTAGTTAAGGGCAATAATGTAATTCTAGGAACAATCTTGTAATGTAAATTAAAACGCTGTATGTGTATCGATAGGTAGGTTAATTATAAGTTTTACATTATTATTATGTCGGAACCCAAGGCATTACGTAGGTGGTGGGGTGGGTGCCGAAAGACCAATGAATTGGGCTCTTGAGTTTTGTAATTTTAGATAAGTTAAGGCCATAATGTAATGAATAGGTAAGTTAAGGCTTCGTTGTAACACATACTCATTAATAGATTTAGGGTTTAAGTTTTATATTATTATTATTAAGTTGGAGCCCAAGGCATTACGTAGGTGGTGGGGTGGGTGCCGAAAGGCCAATGAATTTGGCTCTTGAGTTTTGTAATTTTAGGTAAGCTAGGGCTTAATTGTAATGAATAGGTAAGTTGAGGGTACGATAGCCGATAGACTCTGAATTTCAAAGTCCGTTGTCAGAGGTAAACCTTGGTGGCCAGTGGTGAACCGGCAATGGTTTACTATCCGGACGGCAATGGTTTACTATTTGCACGGTAATGATTTACTATGCGGCATGGCCATAGCCTACTACCCGCACAGCTTCCGGACGGCAAATGGTTTACTATCCGCACGGCAATAGTCTACTATCCGCACGGCAATGGTTTACTATCCGGTGCCCTGGCTATCGGTGAACCTCTGTGCAAGGAGAGAGAATGAAGGGGGACTTTCGACTATCGTACCATTAACAATTTAATATAGATTAGTTAAGGTAATTGAATAGGTAGATATGATTATTTTTATTAAGCAATTTGAGATGCAGGCACCGCTAAGCTTTCTGATGAGAATTTTCTCTTTCTCCATTCCACGGGCTGTGTTTCAGCAACAATCTCGAGGAGGACTGGCACCAGTTTTGGAGGACAACGTAGGAACCGGAAAGCATTCAACATTCTGCCTTTGTCGAATGGACGACGGTAAGTTTTTTTTTTACATTTTAATCTCTTTATTATTTTCAGTTATTATTTATTTGCCATTATTTCCATTTTATAATTTTTTGCTTCTAAGATTCTAACATTCATTTACTACTACGCTAATAAAAAAATTGTCTACAGAATGATGAGAGGTGGGCAGTGGTGGGAGTCAGCACGTTTCAGATGGTGATCTCATGATGATTTACTTATGATGATGTGGTGTAGGAAGAATCAGCGCGTTGGCTGTCCGACTGACACTCAGAAGTTCGGATGAAATCTTGTGTGCCGATCTGAATGTGGTGGTCGGTGCGGTCGGTGCAATGGATTGAAGTAACGACGATTTTTGAAGTAAGGTTTAGTTTCGTTTTTTTTATTTTTCTCATTCATTCATTTTTTCCCTCAATCTTTCAAATTATTCTTCCATTAATTAACGTTTATTCGTTCTATTCATTCATTCATTCATTTTTTTAACTAATTATTTAATCATTCAGTTCATCATTTATTCGTTCGTTCCTTTGTTCCTTGATTTACTACTAAGCTAATAAAAATATCTTTTTACAGAATGATGAGAGGTTGGCTGTGGTGGGCGTTAGCATGTTTCAGATGGTGGTCTCATGATGATCGTTCCGATGACAATTTGAAGATAATATTTAAAGAAAATTTGTTCCTGTCCCATTGTTCTTGTCCCATCGTACCATTGAAAGTACTCGAATTTGTCATCTCAATAAGATAAGTTGCCTTTTTTTCCAATGGCTTGTTTTTTACATTAAAGAATTTTTTTTTTCAATTTAGTGTTTTTCAGTATCCGGTCAAATTCATTCCATCGATGCATGTCAGATGATGGTCGGTGCAATGGAGGTTTGTCCGTAGTGAGTGAAGAAGTTTTTGGAGAGTACACGCCCGCACATTTACACGCACACATCAATAAAACACACACATACACAACATCCATTCATTCGGTGTCGTTGTTATGTTTTTCTTCAACTTTCTATTTTCTTTACCTGACTTAATTTAATTCGTCGGAAAGTTAGGGATCGAGATGAGTTGAACAATCGTAGGTAGGCTAGGGCTTAACATTAGTTAAAAAGTTTCATGTAAAATAAAAACGCTGAAATATGTAAAATGAAATACCTAAAACATGTAAAATTCCAAAAACGTAGAAAAACATATTTGTAGGTAGGTGAGTTGAGTTAATGATTATAAGTAAGCTAGGGCCCTGAGATTGTAGGTAGGTGACTGACTACTATTCTTGCGACTTTTTACTAGTTTTTTGTGATGTGTCTCTTTTCGCTTCACAGCCCCACACCAACAAAACAAACTACATTTTATTCTCGTCGTCGCCTTAAATTTTACCTTTTTGAACAATCTTTTTAATAATGTCTATTTATTTAATTATTTATTAAATGTTGACTGGTTTGTAGTTTTTTTAATTTAGTTATATAATTTTTGGATATTTCTTGATTTAATAAAAGCAACTATTGTGTTTTTCTTTCTTTACTAAAATATCGAAATTGTTTGTAGATCTGTACAGTTAAGTGTTTGTTCGAGTTTGAACAAGCCTTGCAAATATTTTTCAAATATGGTTCATTGATTGGTCGATTGGTTGGTTGATTAGTTGATTGAATGAATGGTTGGTAGGTTGATTGATTGGTTGATTGATTGATTGATCTCATAGTATTGTATAAATGAAAAAAAAATCCGAGTAAGCCAACATACGGCTTTACTTGGCCACTGTATTTAACCAGACAAAAGCAATTTTTTTATTTATATTGACAAAAATAATTGTGAAATGAATATATTGACTTACTTAAAGCATTATATGTAAAGAAAACCGCCATGACACTGTTGTATGAGACCCAGTAAGCCACTGCAGTAAGCCAACTTATGATTTCAGCAACCATAATTTCTATGAGCACCAGCAGAATGTAAAATATTCATTGAATATAATGAAGATAGTTGTTCAAATAACAACTTTGATCTATTTAGGCCGTTTATTTCATGAGCAAACAAATTTTTAACATGGTCGAATAGTGTAAAAAAAGGGTGACTTTAGTTCAATCCTACTAAGCCAACCTTCGGCTTCAGTAAAAAGCCACCGGATTTCACAGGACCAAAAGTATAATTTTTATATTCAAATTAGCAACAATAATTTAATAATACATAATTTTATTTAATAAAATCATAATTTTATTTAATAAAATTAAAGAGAATTACTACAATGTTTTAAGCATATTAAGTCAAGTAAATATTTCATATAGCTTGCTCGTTAAAATCCATACATGGTTTCAGACTTGCTCACAGTACTGAAACTTCTTTACTCAAAATACACAATGATATCCTTCTCTCTAGTGACAATAGTAATCTTACTCTTCTTCTTGCTCTTGACTTTTCCTCGGCTTTTGATACTGTTGACCATCAATCAATCAATCAATCAATCAATCAATCAATTAGCTTATAAAGCGCTATTTCCGCGATGTTCAACAGCGCTCCTCAATGAATTTTGAAAACAGATGGGTCTTGAGATCCGCTCTGAACTTCGCAAGCGATGGTACAAACATTGTACTATTCTCTTGAGACTGCTGCATCATTCTTTTAATATTACTGATTTTTGTCTATCTTGGTTTTCTTCTTATCTCTGTAATCGTTTTTTTTTGTTCTCAATTATTCTACTTCTTACTCCTCTACTCTTACTTTCGGGGTACCTCAGGGTTCTATCCTTGGCCCTCTTCTATTTATACTCTATACTTCTGAACTACCTCGTATTATTAATAACTTTTCTTCCTCTAGTCAACTATATGCTGATGATTCTTACATTTATACTTCTTTTCCTCCATCTAATCTCAATAGTGTTCTTCATAATCTATCTCTATGTCTTTCTTCAATTATTGCTTGGTCTGACTCTATGTGTCTTAAACTTAATCCTTCTAAGTTTGAATTAATTTGTTTTAATAAATCTAAACACTCTATTAATATTCCTCCTATTATCATACCTGATTCTAAAACTCTTGATGTCTCTCATAAGTTTCGTAGTCTAGGTTTTATCTTTGATTCTACTGTGTCTTTCTCTTCTCAGATTAATAGTGTTGCTAGAAGCTCTTACTTTCATCTACGTAGAATAAAAAAACTTTTGCCTTTTCTTGATGATCCTACTCTTCTCCTTCTTGTTACTTCGTTAGTCTTATCTAGGATTGATTATTGTAACTCGCTCTACTATGGTCTTCCTATACTCTATCCTTTAAGTAAAGCTTTTAACTCTGCTGCTCGTCTAGTTGCTCGTGCCCCTTTCTTTTCTCATATATCTCCATATCTTGTTCTCTTGCACTGGCTACC